CAGTTCCCTGAAATCTGGTTTCTGTGGTTTTTTTTTTAGCTTCTATTTGTTACTATGTTTCTTAAACTGCAGGCTGAGAGGCCGGCAAGGCAGGCGGGGAACGTTGCAGTCCTCCGTCACTGAAGCAAGCAAGCCTCATGTTCAGTTTAAGCTTCCTGGCTGCTTACCGCCACCTTGGCTGACAGTTAATTTGCATATCGCCCCTGATTAGCCAATGGGAAGGGTAGCGGTCGTACGCCAATTACCATGTTTCTCTTTTATTAGATAAGGATGTTACTTTTATTAGATATATTTCCCACTTTCAGCATCTGGTTTTAGGAACAAAGAAATGGGTAAAGAAGGGAGGAGGAAGATAATGAAGAGATATAGGTTCATATGGCAGGGAATTGTAAAGTTTAGCGAGTTAAAAAGTACCATGAATAATAGTAAGTAATTAAGTAGGTCAGTAAGTAAGTAATAACTAAGTAAATAAGTTAAACAAGGTATTGGTGAAATTTCCAGTTTGTCTTTTCAAAGGTAGAGAAACTGGATTGGGGAGTGGGAGTCTTGTGAAAAATGTTTTCACTTTGTGTAAAAATATTTTGAAGTAGAAATGGGGAAAATATAAAATACAGAAATATCTTCCCAGGTACAAAAGTATTTAGTGCAGATATTGGGCTGGAGGATAAAATTATGTAAGTTCAGAATACATCCTCATGTGGATTATTTCATGAGTCAGTTAAGATCATGGTTAGGTTCTGATCTGTCCCATGTTTCCCTAACACTTGGCCCGTCCTAATTCTAGAAGATGCCCAGGGAAATAAATGTTACATAGTTTTATAAAGGTGCTGCATGTTTTAAAGAAAATGGCACCAAAAAACATGGGTATTAGAAATCAGGAGGAGGGAGGGTTGCTTAAAAATAGATCTAAGGAGTTAAGGTGCTAAAGAATGACTGACTTATATCTGAAGAAAGAATTCCCAAAAAACCCCACAGTTTACTTAGATTTATTCCTTTCATTTGATTATAGTCCTTAAAAAATACTGTCATTAGAATTGTTAAACAAGTGACATTGTGAGAAATGATGCATTTAAGATTGATCACAACATTCAGTGCAGTGTGCATATTAAATGTTAAGTATATGAGGCCTGATAAATATATTAACTTCTTCAGTCTATGATCTTTATAATGCCATTAATGCAGTCCAGTTTTCAGAAATTTAAAAAAATTGTCTTAACTTTAAAGTATAGAAACTTGCCTAGTTGTCTTGAAAGTTAAAAGTAGCTGCAAATCAATATTAGAAAAATCTGCTGACTGCTCAGAAAAAGTGTTGTTATAATGACAATATGATGAGCCAGATTAATTCTTAAAAATGAGATATATTAATATTTTGTCTATGTTTAGTCCATCTCTCTGCAGTAGAAGTATAGGGACCTGTTTGTTTTGTTAGGTACAAGGACTATGTCCTTTCTCTTTTTATGTTTATTTTGAAAATGGAAGGTTAATTGCAGAACAACCGAGCAGGTGCCAGAAATAATTTGATGACTTAAATTCTATTTTTTTTATCTTCAATATTTTCATCTATATCATAGTTTTGTCAGTTTTAGTTTCCTAATGAGGCTTCTGAATTGTAGTTTTAAAATAAGGCCATAGTCAACAGCATTTTTTCTTTATCCAATTCATTCATTTCCTGGCATCAGTGTGATTTTAAGTCAGAATCTTGCCAACTCACCATTTGGATATACCGTGTCACAAACCATGCTATCAAGATTTGTAAAAATTCAAAGTGTTGAAAACTTAAAGTATCAGATAGATTGAAAATACTGCCATAATATATTTTTTTTAGAATAAAAAAAGCTCCACTAAAGGAAATTTACCATACAATCAAAGTTAAGGTCATTAAGTACTTTCAAAACACAAAATAATTTTGATATATTCTTTTATAAATGAGTTAGAAACTTCTTTAAGTATATCCAGTATACTTGAATCTTTTCCTGTGGACTCAGGATTGTCATTATGAGCATCAGTTATTTTTTGTGCCTTCTGCAGCTATTGAGGTGCTCTGTGGTTGGTGATACTGTTGTTTCCTTCTTTCTTTCCTGCTCAACTCTTACTTTTCAATTTACCAGTTTTTAGAAGTCTTGCTTCATGTCTCCCACACTTTTAAGGCACTGGGCTCTGGCCTGGTGTTCTGGAGTTATATGTAGTGAGGTTTAGGGCAGTTATATGGCCTAGGAGATGAGAGGAAGAGATTCAGAATTGGACATTTGCCAAAATGTAAGCAGTATGTTTGCTTTGAAATTTATTTACATATAAATGTTTATTTCATAGGAATTGTTTCAGGGATTGAGTTACTTTGCTTCTAGCACTGCCAAGTTACAGCACTTGGGCATAAGTTATGGGAAGATATCTGAAGATTATAGCCATAACTCTAGATTAGAGTTTTAAAAACCCTTTAAAAAGTTTTTTTTGAGAATGTGTTTCTTTAGCCAAGGAAATGATGGTTTCTTCCAAGTGTTTTAATATTTTTAAACAGGCATTTGGTTCTCTTTGATGTTGTGTTAAGTACAGGCTCTTTCACAGCACACTAGAAATTGATCTCCCCTGCGGGCGATCAGCATGATGTAGATGAATAATGTGAGACAAATTATTTAACTTCTTTTCCTTAGCCTTATTTTCCTCATCTGTAAAGTGAAGATTATGTAGTACCTGCCTCATGGGCATGTTACCTTGGCTAATCATATGTGAAGTGGCTTGCTCATAGGAAGCTCAGTGGATGTTAGTTACTGGTCTACCCCTGCTGGCTTTGTTGTGCTACTGGAAAGTCTTAAATTGCATGCCCATAGAGAAGGAGGCTCAAGTATCAATTGTTCTTTTCAGGTTTAGGGTTGGAAAGAGAATATGATATTTATTGTTTTTAAATGTATATACACATACACGTACATGCATATACAGAATGTAGCTTGGCAATTGAAATATCTAATTTTCATAATAAATTTAATCTTCCTATATTAAGACGTTCTTTTCTTAGATGTTACTATATTTATGGTATTCCCAGTTATAAAACTGGCAAGGAATAAATCCATCAATAGAAATACGGTTTTTAAAATCTAATATTTTAATTTTTTAAAAACCTGACACCCCATCAGAGGAAATTCAAGTACATATCCTCCCTGCAGTATCTATTGCTTAAAACTTTTCTCTAGAAATTCTTATCTACGACTTAAAACTTTTCCTTAGAAATTCCGATGTGGCTCAGTTGATTGGAGCATCGTCCTGTACACCTAAAGGTGCTGTGTTCATTTCTCGGTCAGGGCACATGCTTGGGTTGCAGGTTCCATTCCTGTTTGGGGTGCATGCAGGAGGCAGCTGATTGATATTTCTCTCTCACATCAGTGTTTCTCCTTCCCTTCCTCTCTCTTTCCCCTATCCCTCTGTCAGCCTCCCTCCTCCTTTCTTTCTCTAAAATCAATTAAAAACAAGACAAAATATATCCTGGATTCCTTTTTTCTCTCCTCCCATCCTCCTTTAAAATTCTGAATGTTTTTATCAGATTTCAATCTTCTTGTGAGGGTCTGAACTATAGCCATTTTTGGCATAGCCATTCATTAGGGCATTTATTATATAATACTTAATATTTTCCTTCCTTCCCTTTCTAGACTTATATATTTATTTATTCATTTATTTCCTCCCTCAAGGATATGTTTATTGGTGAAAGAGAGAGAGAGAGAGAGAGAGAGAGAGAGAGACATTGATGTGAGAGAGAAACATCAATCAGTTGCCTCCCATATGCACCCTGACCAAGGATGGAACATGTAACCTACGTATGTCCCCTGACAAGGAATTGAACCTGCAACCTATTGGTGTATGGGAGGATACTCCAACCAACGAAGCCACCTGGCCAGAGCTAGGTTATTCTTTATTTAATCTTCCAACTAGATTATGGGCTTCTGGATGGGCAGGAACTACAACTTATGTTTTTTGAAGCTCTTTTAGAAAATTATGGGATGTAGTTGACTTTTACATGGAATAGTGCTTAATGAAGCAAACTGGCTAAAGTAAACTCTGCCTATTATTAATCTTTCCCTTGTTATCTTTAGGGTCTTCCTTTCGGTTTTAAATGTTACCCTGAAAGCTGCCTCATTCTTGATGATGTATGTTTTATATTATAAAGGAACTAAGCCTGTATACATATTATAGGTATGAGTAAAGTAAGTCAGGCAGAAATGGTGAAGGCTAGGAAGAAAGATACTGTCGGAAGTATAGGGTTCTTGTAAACATTGAGATTGGGATTTGTGCATTATTTATAGGGTTGAGTATCACAGAGAAGGTCACTTGATGAAGAAGTACCACTTATTATGTGACTGTAGACATTTTAGTATTAAAGACTGAAAAGTTCTCTTTATTTCTTTGTACCATGTATTAACTTCTCACACTTGGAAATTTCAGGAGTTGTCACAGCAGAAATGTTTAGACATATGCAGAACTCTGAAATAATTCGAAAAATGACTGAAGAGTTTGATGAGGTAACATTACTCTAAATGTTTTGATAATTTTATGCATGTTGATCTTGATTTACTCTTGAAAGTATTCTTTTTTTAAAATTTCTTTTTGAAAATATTCTTAAATTCTGAATATTAGTGTCATGGATAAGAGCTTTGGCATCAGCTTCAATCAGATGATGGCTATGTGACCTTGGGCAAGTTGTCTTAGCATTAGCTTCATCATCTGTAAAATAGGGCTAATAATACTTTTAGGCTGTTATGAAGATTGAATTTAGTAGTATTTGAAAAATTCCTTAGCATTTTATAATGCCTGGCACATAGTAAGAACTTAATAAATGGTAGCTATTATTATTGTCAAAAAAATAATTGAATAATATTTAGAGCCTAAGAACATATCTTGACATCTTGTAAGAGGAAGGTTTGGTCAATATCTCGGGAACCAAAAAGAAATATGTGTATAAATATACACACTTACAAATAATTATATTGTTTAAAATCTCCTTTATGTTTCAAATATGAGTAATAAGAACAATACAAATAAAAAAATAAATAGTAGCATAGATTTGAGTTGCTCCTTTATTAAAATTATGTCTTTGAAGTATTGTTACCAATAAAGGCATATTTAGATTTACTATAATGTAAACTTGTTGAGGGCAAGGATTTTTGTTTGTTTTGTTCACAGCTGTATTCCAACACTGGTAGTTTTTACTCTTCAAAACTTTTCAGAGAGAATTTTCAAATAGAAAGTCATGTCTCATTTGAATTTTATTTTTCCTTGCTTACTCTATAATGAAGGGGTTTTCAACTACCATTCTGTTTTTTTAAAAATATATTTTTATTGGTTTCAGAGAGGAAGGGAGAGGGAGAGAGGGATAGAAACATCAGTGATGAGAGAGGGTCACTGATTGGCTGCCTCCTGCATGCCCCCTACTGGGGATGGAGCCTGCAACCCGGGCTTATCCCTGACCAGGAATCAAACTGTGACCTCCTGGTTCATAGATCGATGCTCACCTACTGAGCCATTCTGGCTGGGCCCAACTACCATTTTAAAAGATGTCAGACAAGAGTTATTAAAATAGCTTTGTTGATCACTAAGTGCTATTAATCAGCCTCCAAATAGTTAAGATGTAATTATGAGTAATGGTATTATTTTAGCTTTCTAATATTAAATGCTTTAGTGAGAACCTTCTTACTAAAAGGAAACAGCTATTTGAGGTAGGAATCCTGAAATATAGTTTGAAAATAATTAGAAAACTAAGTTGCTAACAACAATTAAGATATATTTTAATATAGTCACTTAAATGAACCAATCAGAAAAGATGGAAAAAACCTTTTTGTGGAATAGTATTATGACCTTATTTTCAGATGCAAAATAATACTACTTACATATGTCATAGCTTAAAATAAAAAATATTGTTCTAATGACAAAATTTAATTGTTACAAAATTTTACTAAACTGATACAATCATCTTAAGTCTTTATGATACTCTTGTTAGAAGTTCTTTTAGAAGTTCTATGTGATATTGGTATCTGCCTTTTTATTTTAAGGACTTATTTGTTTTTATTTATGGAGAATCTCACTGTAAATACATTGAAGAATATTCCACCTTTTTATGGAAGAGTATCTGGGGTCTATTTTTTCCAGGCTATACTAGCTACATTTCATTTCTTTAAAAAATTATCTGGTTGATTATGTCTGTTGACTGTTTGATGTGCTGACGCTAATGAAAACATGCATGGTAATCTTTTGATTATTTAGAAATCATACATCAATCTATTAGATTGCTGAGAATATGATTTCATCATTTTGAATGCATTTAAAAATATAACTTTGGTTTGCTTTTTGTTTTAAAGAAATTTAATAATTGTATCTTTGCTTATCAGAATAGTGTTTTGGTTTGATGAGAGGCATTTTTTTAAACCTCTGAATAATTGACAAATATTTTCATTGGTTAAAGTGAATTCAGAATATTCATTTGGTATTTAATAAAAGCAGAGATACTCTGCTTTTATTTACTTCTGCCTTTGTATATTGTTCTCCTGCCTACGTTGAGGATTTTATTAGAAAAGAAAGGTGAGATAAAGGAGTCATTTTAGCTTCTGTCTAGGGTATTTCAAAAAGAAGTAAAATTTATTGTCACTTGTTTTATATGAAATGGTTGTTTACATTTTTTGTTTTAGGATAGTGGAGATTATCCACTTACCATGGCCGGTCCTCAGTGGAAGAAATTCAAATCCAGTTTTTGTGAATTCATTGGCGTATTAGTACGGCAGTGTCAATATAGTATCATATATGATGAATACATGATGGATACAGTCATTTCACTTCTTACAGGATTGTCTGACTCACAAGTCAGAGCATTTCGACATACAAGCACCCTGGCAGGTTGGTATTCAGAAATATTTTCGGTATATTTCCCAAAATTAGAGATGAAAATGATTTCCATTAAAAGAAATATTGGTGACACAAATTAATTTTATTTATAAAGTAACCACTAGGAAGCCACCAACCTCTCCTCCAACCCCCTTGAATTATCGGGAATGGGATGGTATTTCAGTTTGGTTCTGTGAAGGCATACTATACTATATAATAAAAGCCTAATATGCTAAGTGTCCAGTCGTCCGATCGTTCAACCAATTAAAGCGTAATATGCTAATAATATTCTAAGGTCGCTCAACCTCTCGCTATGATGTGCACTGACCACCAGGAGATAGTCACTCTGACCCATAGGTTGCTGCTAGGGTCCGGCTGATTGGGACTGAGCGAAATGGGCCAGACACGCCCTGGAGCCCTTCCACGGTCCCTCCCCAGCTCGCCAACCTCCCATGTTCCTCCCCAGTCCCAATTCTGCACTGGTGGGGTCCCTCAGCCTGGCCTTCACCCTCTCGCAATCCAGGTTGAGGGGACCCCCCCGCCCCCCAAGTGCACCAGGCCTCTAGTATTAGTATGTAATGATTTTCTTGTGGTAAACCTATTTGAATATTATGTATTAGGTAGAGCTGCTATGTCTCCTGGCCTTGGTATAGTGGCCTAATGTAATAGTTGTTCTATAGGGCCCAGTATCACAGCCTCCTAGATCACCCAAGCTGGGCACTCCAGATGTGCCCACACCCTGTGGGCTGTGTACTCCCTCCTGTTGTAGTTAAGTCTTGATTGCTGTTGGCACCTCAGTGAGGGAGATTTACCCCCAGGCCAATTGTCTATGAGGAGTGGAGGACTTGTTGGGACCACTGTGGAGTATCAGCTGTGCAGGGGTCCACCCTATGAAGCAGGATTTACTTTAGTGGGTCTTTGGTGCCCTCTGAGTCTGCCCCTTGAGCATGTTTCTTTTGGAGGTGGTTAGGTGGTGCTTTGACATGATCTGAAGCTGTCCACTGGGTGCACTGGCTCTGGGACCTCCTGGGAGGTACAGGCCAAGGTCAATTGCCAGCTGTTCTGCCCAGGGGCTCCTAGTATGTGCTACAAAGCAATCTGTAGATGGCTGCTACTTCTGCTGGGCTTGGAAGTGTCCAGACGAGGCCAAGCTGTGAATCAAGGCTGGCTGCTGCTAGTGTCAGGCCTGGGGCTACTTAGTGAGAGTTACAAGGCATGCAGAGGCCAGATGCTGCTTTTTTGAGAGATTTTAAGAGAGTCTGACATGTGAGCAGAGAAGCCATTTCTATGGAAATCCACTGGAAACCTTTCTTATGTTTTTGAGTAACTTTAGGCTGAGTCAGATTTTTTGACTTTTAAATTTTAATAAAAGGAATTGGAAAATTAATTCTAGAACAGTGATTTTTGGTGTTGATGTTGATAGAATCTTTTGATTTCTCCTTTATGCTAAAGGCAAAATTGTTGATACACTATTATAAGATACGTGCTTTTTTATTTCAGTTTGAATGAATCAAATGGGTGTTTATTATGTATTACTATAGTATAGTGTCTACAAAATATATTCATTCTCAAAGTATGGAAACATTATTTTTCTCTTTAAAGTATTTTCTCAAATAATTAAAGCTGTGATTAAAGAAGTACTTCTGCTGAGTTTTCTATTTTAAAAAATAAAATGCAGACAATCTCTCTATAGGTTTTTTGTTTTTAGATTCAAAGTTACAAAATATAAATGTGATCTTGTTCTTAAGAAATTGGGTAGTATTTAATGTTAAGAATTTGATGGGTTAAGAAAATTAAAATAAGTATAATGGTATGAGGTGAATAAATTTAGATCAGAATGACAAAATGGTTTGCTGAGGATGTGAAATAGCTCAGCAGAAAATTCAGAATCTCTTTCAAAGAGAGCCAATAGCCAAAAATTAAGATAGTTTTGTGTTGTTCTGTCATGTAATGAACCAGAATTGAGAAATAGTCTGGAGTGAGCTAAAGAAAGTATAAAATGGTCAGATACTTCAGTTAGTAAGTTTTAAATCACAGGCATTGAGTCTTGTCTCAGGAGCAAGAGTTCAGTAACAGAAGGTGGGGATCTAGAGAGGGTCTGTTATCAGTTTATTACTAACACTAGAGGCCCAGTGCATGAAATTCATGCACTCTGGGGGAGTGGGGGGGGGGTCTCTCAGCCCGGCCTGCATCCTTTCAGTCCGGGAACCCTTGGGGGATGTCTGACTGACGGCTTGGTGGTTGTCTGACTAAGCTGTTAGTTGGACATCCTTAGTGCTGCTGTGGAGGCGGGAGAGGCTCCCGCCAGCCGTGAGCCTGGCTTCTGGCTGAGCGTTGCTCCCCCTGGTGGTCAGTGTTCATCATAGTGACCGGTCGTCCCGCTGTTGGGTCTATTTGCATATTTGCCTTTTATTATATAGAATATTAAGCCCTGGAAAGTTTTCTCAGTGGTTATAGCATCAGCCCTAGGACTGCAGGGTTGTGGGTTTTATTTCCAGTCAAGGGCATGTACCTCAGGTGTGGGTTCAATTCCCTGCCTCGTTTGGAGCATGTGCTGGAGGCAACCAGTTGATGTGTCTCTCACACCAATGTTTCCATCTTTCTCTTTCTCTCTTTTCTTCCCCCTCTTCCATCCTTCCATTCTCTCTATCTATCATGGAAAAATATCCTCTGGTGAGGATTACAAATACACAAACACACATACACAAACACACACACATAATTAAATACCACTTTATTGAGTGATACTTTACTCTTTGTACTTTTGAATTTTCATCTGAACGCCCTTCATAATTTCACCATTGTCTTCATGATATGGAATAGAGTAAAATGAAAGGAAATCAAATACTGGTAAAATTCTCTAACATTTTTATACACTACTAGAGGCCTGGTGCTTGAAATTAGTGCACTTGGCCGGGGGGAGGGGAGGGCGTCCCTTAGCCTGGCCTGTGCCCTCTCACAGTCCAGGAGCCCTGGGGGGGGATGTCCGACTGACGGCTTAGCATTGCCATGGAGGTGGGAGAGGCTCCCACCACTGCCGCTGTGCTCGCCAGCCGTGAGGCCGGCTTCTGGCTGAGCAGCGCTCCTCCTGTGGGAGCACAGTGACCACCAGGGGGCAGCTCCCCCGTTGAGTGTCTGCCCCCTGGTGGTCAATGTGCATCATAGTGACCGGTCATTCCACCATTTAGTCATTTGCATATTAGCCTTTTATTTTGTAGGATACACCATAGATGAGGCCCCCTAGAACCATAAGAAATGCAAACAATTCACTGTTAACTCATTCTCGAGGGGTGTGTGCTGTATCTTGGGAACCAGTGGGCTTGACACTTTTCCTCTCTGAGCTTCATTTATGAATACATACACATATACCATGGGAATTGTAATCTCTTTTCTGCCTACCTCACTGGGTTGTCAAGAGGAGGTTCTGAGCTAATATACCTAGAAATGTTTCATCAAGTAAGTGATGTCTATCTAAACAGGAAGGGGTGGTAATTTTTAAGCTCACGTGTACCCTTGCAGGTAGCAGGTGCTGATTAAGGGAGGAGGGCATGAGTTTTTCTTGGGACTGTAGCTATGGAAGCTTTGCAGAGGATTCTGCAGCCTTTGGAGGGGTGGCTCTGGCCAGCAGCCCTGTAGCGGTGGTTGTCCCTGGAGGCGCTGGTGTGGGGCAGGGAGTTAGGGGTGCGCTAGGGGGGCAGCGAGGCGGAAGGGGAAGTAACTGTCAAACCTTCCTGCTTGGTGCCATTCTTTAAATTGTATGTGACTGTTTTGCAGCTGTACCTGCTTAGGGCGGGGCTCCAATCTCCTGGAGCGGGGTGGGGGCTGGGCTAGTGTGGAGCCCGGCGGGCTAGGAGGGCGGGTTTAGCCACGCCCCCAGCAAGGTTCATCATGCTTCCTCTGTGGAGATGGCGCTGCTACTGTCTGGGGTGGGGGAGATGATGGTCTGACCCTGGAGGGCCGCTCAGGCCTGCCTTCACCCAGGTCTGGAGTTGTAGGGAGGAGAGGCATGCTTGTCCGCAGCATAAGGGGACCGGCAGCCGGCCTTGGGCCCTTCCCGGATGCCTCAGGGCCTCTGATGGGTGGTCGCCAGTGTGCTATTGTTGTGGGTGCCCTTGGCGGGAGTGGTGGGGGAAGAGATTGGGAGTTAGAGGTGCGGGATGCAGCTACCCCCCCGAGGCTGGGTCAGCCTCCCTGTCCCCTCAGGGGTGTGGGGGCTGGGGTAGGGTGTCCTGGCAGGGAGATGGGAAGAGCTCCCAGCATCTGCTTCCTCTTTGCAGTCCAGGCTCCTTTCAGGCACTGTCCTCAGACCCCTGGGAACTTGGCTCAGGCTGCCTGCCCCCTGCTGCGCGTGCATCAATATGCAAATTGGTCATTACGGGTTGGACAAATTAGCATATTACCTCTTTATATATAGAGATAGTTTGATATAAAGCATCCAGGCTCGCTCTCTCTCTTTGGTTACTGAGATAGCTAATTGACTGCTGTATGAGACAGTTACTTTGAAGGTGAATCATGGTCTCTGAAAAAGAACATTGGAGGGGATATATAGTCTCGAGACAGTTTACTAAGTTTTGAATCCTACTTAAAATGAACTGCATAATCTGAGGCAAATTTCTTAATCTCCCTGATCTTCAGTGTCCTCATGAATGAAATGGGGATAATAGTACTTAATTTTGAGGGCTGTTGTAAGGATTAGGAGATAGTCTATGAAAAGTATATAACATAGGTAACTGACTGATATACACTAAGTATTTAACACTCATTAGCTATTATTTTCTTGTCATTTGTGGCAGCTGTATTTTACTTTTCTTTTAGAGGTAGTATAGCCCATTTTGTTTTTAATTTTTCTTAATTTGTAATTTTTTTTGTATCTGTGAAACTAATATCAACCCTTTTTCCCTTTAAAAATAGCTATGAAGTTGATGACAGCTTTGGTGAATGTGGCACTAAATCTTAGCATTAATATGGATAATACACAAAGACAGTATGAGGCAGAACGGAATAAAATGATTGGGAAACGGGCCAATGAGAGGCTAGAACTCCTGCTACAAAAGCGGAAAGAGGTAAACGTATATATTAATTATTTGCACTATTAATAGGTGACCAACTTGGTCACCATTAATGATACAGCTTTGATAGTTTATTAGATAAAATATTTTGAAAGATTTAAGTTTGTTGACTATCCATGCCAGCAACACCTTTTGTGTATATTTTCTTGCTTTGTGGACTAGAATTAAGAGTTCAAGGCTTCAAGTAAGAATTCCTGGGCATATCGGACAAATTGTTTTAAGCCTTAGTATTTCATCCCTTCTGTAAAAATATCTGAACTTCTTCCTTCAGCTTGTCAGGATGAAATAAAGTTTCACTTACGTGAAATCATTTTGAAAAATAACTTAAAAGCTATTTATGGTGTCTCAGTTGTTGGCTATTTTTGTGTAGTGTAGAAGCACTTGTTTAAAATTAATGACCGCTAAATTCAGATTTGAATGAGGAAAATATTTTTCAGCCTTACCCTAAATAATAAATAAAATATTTCAATGTTGTATTTGTGATTTAAAGTCCTCCTTCATTGATGATGTAATATTTTGCTATCTGATACTAGGGATGTTAATTTTTATTTTTAAAGGCAAAGTCTGATGTTTCAAAGTCTGATGTAACTCAGCAGTGCTGCTGAGTTACAATACTTGCCATGGTAATCCATAAATTACTTACTTGATTTTGGCACTGGCGTAGCTATAATGTAAAGTTAAGTTATTTCTGAGATAGTCAATAACTTTTAAAAATACCTCGACTCACGAAAAGCGAGAAAAATTTGGCCCGCATTTCCTTGATGCTTAAATACCTCATTGCTTTCATATAGTTTGAAATGAAGAACTGACCTTTTTGCCCTTTAAATTAATTAATTTCATCAGATGATTTATTAGGCAAACATACTTTTTGAAATTAATGGCCTCATTCTTTGACATAAATTTAAGATTGTGAACACAGAATGAGTAGATTTATTTTTTGAAAATATTTTTATTGAATTTTAGAGAGAGAGGAAGGGAGAGGGTGAAATAGAGAGGAACATTGATGTGAGAATGAAACATTGATCTGCTGCCTCCTGCACACCCCGTACCAGGGATCAAGCTGCAATTCTGAGACATCCTGGCAACCCGCTCAGTGCACAGAAGGACACCCAACCAACTGGGCCACATTGGCCAGGGCCAGGATAAGCAGATAGAATTCTTGTGCAAATACAGGATATTAATACTTCTAGGTTAGGACTAAGTTTTTAAACACATTAAAAGACCACCTGTACCTTTGATTGTTTGTCTGTACTAATGAACATAAGATAACATTATTTAGGAATGCAAGATTATTTATATTCATGAAAAGAAAAAAATTACAAAAACACAGATTTCTTATAACTTGTAAGCTCCGAAAACATTTTCTCTTAACTCTCAAGCTCTAAATTAAAAATATATGGAGTACCTAAGTCAACCAAGATTTGAAATGTTTAATTGATTTTTTTTTTCAGGTGGGCCTTCTTTCCCTCAAAAGAATTTAGCAGGGAGACATTTTTTTTTTACAAGTTACCTTATTCAAATCCCTTTTAGTTTTTGAACAGATACTAGTTAATATGACTCTTTTTCAGAATATAAAGGCCAAGATAATCAAATATTAATATTTTTATATATGAACATACATATTATTTAATAGGTAATATATATTATTATAAACTCAACAGATTTCATTATATATACTTATACAATGGAAATTTGTGAGCATTAGAAAAATTAATCTACCAGCCAAACATTAAAAAAGCCAAGTCAAATATTCCAGATATCGAGGGACTTTACCTGATATACAACAGCTGTTAATTTTTCTGTGTTTACTGTTGTCTAGTGAAATTAAAGTTTAGATGTAACCACTTAAACCACTGTAGAAACCTGCATTTGTACTTTAACAAATTTTAGATGTTCTTTTGGTTGTCTTCCATTACCATTGAAAAGAAACTTTTTTTTCAGCTTCAAGAAAATCAGGATGAAATAGAAAATATGATGAATGCAATATTTAAGGGAGTGTTTGTACATAGATACCGGTAAGTCATGACAGTTTTTTCTATGTAATTCTTAACTCTATTCAAGTTTGGAAGTGGTTTAGGCAGTAGAAGTAAGTGGAAGGAGTGTTGACGAAAGGTTAATGTTAGAATCTAAATTCTTCCATGGAATGAGACACATTCAAGGCAAATTATTTAACTGCTTTGAACTTGATGTTTTCTTTCTGAAAAATGGATTAGTGTTGTTCTTGACTTGTAGCTGCCCAGCAAATGGAAGCTACTACTATTATTTAGTAGGAGTCAGCATATAGAATATTTCATTGCTTTTGGATGTATTATGTTACTAGAGCCTGTACCCACTGACTCCTAACTCTCTTCCATTTGAGTATCAGTGGGAAAATTTGGAGAGATGTGAGATGTTTTCTTTTGCTATTTTGAATGAATAGAGGAAAAAAGTAGATAATCTTACCACCATTTCTGTTGTAACCTATTCTTTAAATGTTGATGGCATTCTTATTCAACTTTTTTCTCATTTCCTCAACATGGCAGTTATTTAATCAGGTTAATACTTCCTTTGTAATGTCCCTTTGTCCATTCTTTTCTCATTCTTTGTCCATTTCTTATTGTCATAGTTATCTTTGTCTATTTTCCTCATCATTCTCATGCCTAGAGATTTTGAAGTTTCCTTAAAACGTTCTTTTGTTGCATTATTTTTCTGCTGAAAAGCCTTCAATGACTCACCAGTACCTACAGGATGAATTAAAATAATTTAGTTTGACATTCAAATCCAAATTGGGGTTGGCCTCATTGTTATGTGTAACTAATTCGCGCCTGGAAAATTATGCTCTAACCAGACCATTGTGCCTGCTGTCTTCTGAACACACCATGCCCAGCAGGTGTGAGCAAAAGTGTGTGATATGGCATGGTGTAAAAGGTGGGGATGGATTTTGTTTATAGTTCTATTTAAGTTTAAATATTTATGTGGTGAAAAATTATGCTTTGCCAACTAAATTATAACCTCATTGGCATTCAGAGGACATGCTTCAGCTCTACTTTTATTTTTATTTTTAAAATATATTTTTATTGATTTCAGAGAGGAGGGGAGAGGGAGAGAGAACCATTGATTGGCTGTCTCCTACATGCCCCACAATGGTGACCCAGGCTGTACTCTGACTGGATTGAACCATGACCTCCTGGTTCAGCCACTGAACCATGCTGGCTGGGCCAGTTCTACTTTTAAATTGCCAATAATACTTTACATAGTAGTATGTTCATAGTAGGTTTGAATTATTTGGCATCTATTAAATAAAAAGTCCTGGGGTATAGTGGCACTAATATGCATAATGTTTCCTTCCTTCCTTCAGCGATGCAATAGCTGAAATCCGAGCTATTTGTATTGAAGAAATTGGCATTTGGATGAAAATGTATAGTGATGCTTTTCTTAATGACAGTTATTTAAAATATGTTGGTTGGACTATGCATGATAAGGTAAGATATGCCCTACAGACTCTTCTACCTACAGGCATCGCTGTCTACAATTCTCATTCAAAAAGAGTTATATGAATGTAGGTATATCTGGGACTTCATTCCTATAGGTCTGTCTTCTATATTGTGTTCTGAGTGCTCCATGAAATCATCATCTCTGTCATATAAATTCCTGTAGACTTTTGAATTGTGGCCACTGATTTAGCCTTTAATCTTGAATTATTTTTTTATACTGAAACATTAGGATCATGTAGGTTGGGGTAGTTAGGCATTTCTTAGAGTACTAAGAAGAGTCTTTAATTTGGTTTTTAGTATGTGAGTGCTGTATTTTAAAAAATTCCTCTCAATAAATATGCATCTTAGATTGTAAGTTATAACTTGCCTTCTGACCCTTTTTAATAAATCTACATTTCTCTGAAGCTGCCTTTTCATTGGCTTTGAAGTTCCTTGTATATATCCCTTACAAATATTACTTTCTGTAAAGTAAAACAATATTTAATGTGCTTCTGTTGTCTTTGATAATAATATTTCTCTGAATAGATTTTCAAAAAATTTTTATTTGATCTACAAAAATAGTAACCCCAAAGGTATTTAGTCATATAGTATATATGTATTGATTCATATTTTTGCATTATCAAAGATGAGTTTCTGAAGAAATGCTACTGTATAGAACATTTAAAATTTTAAAGTAGAAAATAGGGTAATGTCTTGACTATTCAGGTTGAAAACATACAAGTTTTTAATGCATTTTTCCTCTTGTTTCATTTAGCAAGGTGAAGTAAGACTCAAATGTCTCACTGCTCTACAAGGGCTTTATTATAACAAAGAGCTTAATTCCAAACTGGAGCTTTTTACCAGTCGGTTCAAGGTTAGTATTACTTTTAAGTATTTAAAAATTACCTATCATTTGAATAGCTTTCCCTTTAAAAATCTTTTTTTTTCTGTCCTTAGGATAGAATTGTGTCTATGACCCTTGACAAAGAATACGATGTTGCAGTACAAGCAATAAAATTACTTACTCTTGTTTTACAGTAAGTATGTATTTATTGCATATTACTGATGTCCAGATATTTAAATAATACATTCGAGAATTTGGTTTCACTTATTTAGATCTAAAATTTAATAACTTAATTCATGGTATTTTATAGGTACAAGTTTAATTTTCCCATGTAAACTTGAGAAAATAGGAAAAGTAAACCATGGGACTAGAAAAATTCTGAGCTAAGAATTCATGTGTTCTTCATTCGTTTGGTCCATTTTCTCTCCGTTTTACTGTCTTAGATGCTTTTAAAATAAAGTTAAACACCTGAGTGTAATAAATGTTCTTACTGTATTTTATTACACTTTCAGAAATTAGTATTTAATGAAACTAAACTTCTCTTTAGATGATCTGAATTTAAACATATTATATTATAATGTAATAGTGATACAAATTATTTTTTCTTTAAAAAATTATGGTAATACTATATCCTATATAATAAAAGGATAATATGCAAATCGACCGAACAGCGGACTGACTGGTTGCTATGATATGCACTGACCACCAGGGGGCAGACAACGCAGGAGCTTCCCCCCGGTGGTCAATGCGCTATCATAGGGGGAGCGCCACTCAGCCAGAAGCCAGGCTTATGGCTGGCGAGCGCAGCAGTGGTAGCGGGAACCTCCCCTGCCTCTGTGATAACACTAAGGATGTCCGACTGCCAACTTAGGCCTATTCCCCATGTTAGGCCCACTCCCCATGGAGGCCCCCCCCCCAAGTGTATGAATTTCGTACACCGAGCCTCTAGTATGTATATAACAGAATTTACCATTTTAAGTGTACAGGTCAATGGCATAATGTACATTCACATTGTGCAGCCATCACCATTATCCATCAGCAGAACTCTTTTTTATCCTTTTATATTGAAACTCTATACCCATTAAACACACTATTTCTTCCACCTTCCCTTTCTCACCCCCCAATACCTGGTGACCACTGTTCTATTTTCTATCTTTATGAATTTGACTATTTTAGGTACCTCATATAGTGGAATCATACAATATTAGTCCTTTTGTATCTGGCTTATTCACTTAAGCGTTGTCTTCAGTGTTTGTCCATATTGTAGCACATGAAAGAATTTGATTCCCTTTTGAGGCTCAATAATATTCCATTATGTTTATACCACACTAGAGGCCTGCACGAATTTGTGCAGCAGTGGGATTCCCTGGCCTGGCCTGTGGGATCGGGCCAAAACTGGCTCTCTAACATCCCCGTAGTGGTCCTGGATTGCGAGAGGGCACAGATCAGGCCGAGGGACCTCACCAATGCACAATCAGGGCTGGGGAGGGATGCGGGAGATTGGTCAGCTGGGGAGGAACCGCAGGAGGGCTCCAGGGCATCTCCGGCTCGTCTCACTCAGTCCTGGTTGGCTGGACCCCAGCAGCAAGCTAACCTACTGGTTGAAGCGCCTGCCCCCTGGTGGTCAGCAACTGGTTGACTGTCTGCCCCCGGTGGTCAGTGCACGTCATAGCAAGTGGTTGAGTGGCCTTAGCATATCATTAGAATATTACGCTTTGACTGGTTGAATGGACGACCAGACACTTAGCATGTTAGGCTTTTATTATATAGGATTTTATTTATGCATTCATCTGTCAGTGGACATTTAGGTTGTCAACATGGTCCAAATAACTGCAAAAGGGTCCCTTTTTATCATTGCATGTTAATTCTGACACTCATGGAATATTTATCATGTAATAGTAGCCAGTGAAATTTGGTAAAACAAATGAGAGGTGACTGTCCGATATGATTTTAAATCTTATTGTAAAGCCATAGTGATTTTTAAATTTTGTTACTGGTGAATATGAAAAGAGATCATTGGCATAGAATAAAGAAGACTATAAAGACAAATGCAATTAATCCAGGAACCTAGTATAGGGTGAGGATGGCATTTCCTATCCAAAAATAAATGGCTCTGTGACAAATAGGTTTTATTTAGGGGGAAAATTAAATTAGATATCTATTTAATTTCTTATACAAAAATAATTTCCAGATGGATGAAAAGTTTAAATGCAAATAATTGAAACCCTAAAGTACTGCATGAAAATTCAGGAAGATTGTTTTTTATGTAAAATCACAGCAATATCTTTCTGTGCATGAGATAAAAGAAAAGGAAATATTCACATAAAAAAATCACAATTAACTATATAAAAATCTAATATATAAAATATCATAAACTCATAAAACAAATGGCAGATTGGTCAAAATTATTGTATCATAGGAGTCAATTTCAATCTATAATAATAAAAGCTAATTAGACCAGACATCCTTCCCAACAGCCTCCTGGACTAAGCTGGGTTGCAAGGGAAGCCCAGGTCCTGGGTGCCTGCTGGTGGCCGGAGGAAAGCCTGGGTTCCAGGTGCCGAAGGGAAGCCGGTGCCGGCAGCCGGGGGAAGGAAGGCCTACTCTTGTATGAATTTGGTGCATCGGGCCTCTAGTAAATCAATAAAAAGAACAGAAACCCAATAGGAAAATAGTCAAAAGTCAGTAAACAGATCATTGATAGAAAATAAAATAAAAATTTAAACATATGGAAAGATGGTTAGTCACACTTTACAGAAGTATTAAAATTAGACCATTATTTTACCTACTAGGGGCCTGGTGCACAGATTCATGCACTGGTGGGGTCCCTCAGCCTGACCTGTGCCCTCTTGCAATCCAGGACCCCTCAGGGTATATCAGACTGCCGGTTTTGCCTGATTCAGTGAGCCCGGCTTCTGGTTGAGCAGCACTCCCACTGTGGAGTGCACTGACCACTAGGGTGCAGCTCATGCATTGAGTGTCTCCCCTCTGGTGGTCAGTGCACGTTATAGCTACCGGTCATTACACTGTTTGGTCAATTTGCATGTTAGCCTTTTATTATATAATTCAAATATTGAGAAATGTTGAAATAAACAAAGTAATAGCACTCTGTATATTTCTGTAGCTTCTCATCTCCCTCCATAATACCTTATAGACATTTTTTTCTTGTTTCTGGTACTGATATTTTTATGAAGGGTGATATTCATTTATGTTGGTTTAGCCATGTATATAAATAATAACTGAAACTTCCAAGAAACATTCCTTCTCAAATAGTTAAAGATGAATGAACTGATTAGAATCAATGTATGTCTTTTAAAATCATAAATAAGTGATTTTTCCAAAAACGATCCAGTATTATATATAAGCAGATTAAATCAAAGTGCTATTGACACTTGAATTTTAACATTTTGGTTTTGTTTCTCTTCAAAAGAATTAATATTTCCTTAGACTTCAGACTTCTGGAAACCTTGAAAACAACAAAAAACCAAAAAGGATCTGAGACCTTAAACTAAACACCTAAATGTACTTAGGCTTTTCTCTTTGGGGTGGTCCTATGATTCTTAATTTATATATAATGGTAAAAACCTAGATTATTTATTTCACAGTAGACTAAAAGCATATAAGGTATTTGGCACTTATATTTTAATTAATCCATTTCTGTTGTTATAAGGTGTTCAGTACATGATGGATGAAATGTTCTTCCTCATTGTATTAGTATATTTTAATGTGGTGATATTATCACTTAATATTGCTATGAAATATATGCAGTGTTCTCTGATTATTAATTAAGCTCTTAGCATGCCACTACTCCACTTTACTTTCTACATTAGTTTATATTATTTACTCTTCATTTTCCTGTAACGTCCTTGTCTTACATTATTACTTTCTCTTTACCATGTCTTCACTTTCGTTATTGATTGGAATTTTACCTCCCATTGATTTTAAATGTTCACAAAATATTCAGCTCTTTTGCCTGGGCAAGCTTTTACTGATAGATGATAAGTAAAGTTGATGTCTTCTTTTTAATTTTTCTTAACACAACTTAGTGAAAGTATGAGCATGGGTTTTTGTATTCAATATGCTTCAAATTATACCACCACTAAAAAGACTGGTACGGTTAATTTATTTTTTAGGAGTAGCGAAGAAGTTCTTACTGCAGAAGATTGTGAAAATGTCTATCATCTGGTGTATTCAGCTCACCGGCCAGTAGCAGTAGCAGCTGGAGAATTTCTCTACAAAAAGTAAATCTGTTTTTCTGTTATTATTTCCTTTAAAAGTTTCAATTTCCCTTCTCCAATTCCTTTAATTTATTTAAGTTACATCTTTAAAGGGGAATTGTACCCATATCTTTTAATGGATATGCTTAAAAATGTACCTAAGTATATCACAATGTTAAGACCTTTTCCTGATTTTTCACTTTAATTCTGATGTCAGCTTCCCAAAAAATGGTTAATTTTGGGATGAAACATTTATTTAAAAGAGTATATGATGTAAAACATTCACACTGCAGTTTTCTATTTCTTATTATCCAGTGTTTTCTCTTTGTTATTTATAAAGAAAAACAATCAGGGCCCTGACCAGTTTGGCTCAGTGGATAGAGCGTTGGCCTGCGGACTGAAAGTTCCCAGGTTGATTCTGGTCAAGGGCATGTACCGTGGTTGCGGGCACATCCCCAGTAGGCAGTGTGCAGGAGACAGCTGATCAATGTTTCTCTCTCATCGATGTTTCTAACTCTCTCTCTCCCTTCCTCTCTGTAAAAAATCAATAAAATGTATTTTAAAAAAAGAAAAAAAAACAATCATGATATCCATAGAGAGAGGCCACTAAGTCCAGACTTTAGAAAAATTATATAAGAAGGATAGAAGGGAAATATATGTTCAGTTTAAGAATATTTATCATAGATTTATATGCATAAATTGGATAGGTTAGTCATTGTGATGCTTTTATAAAAGAAAATGGTTGCATGAAATGCAAGATTTATAAAAATAATTGATAACTATGAAGTTAAGAGAGCTGGGAAGTACTATCAAGTGTGAAATTATGTACTTGAGTCTAATGTTGGACAATATGACACCTACGTACCTTCCATTTACTCCTTTGTTAGGTGCTTATATATAGAATTCAGACTTTTTATTAGGAAATATTATTTTTTGTTTTAAAAGCAAGTATTTTGCATTGGTTTGCAGGCTCTTCAGTCGTAGAGATCCAGAGGAGGATGGAATGATGAAAAGAAGGGGACGACAGGGTCCAAATGCCAACCTTGTTAAGACATTGGTGTTTTTCTTCCTGGAAAGTGAGGTTAGTTGATGTTCGTTTTTTTACTTATGCCAGTTTTTTAAAGGATATTCCATTTATGTTCATGTAGAATGTTGGTTTATATATTTTTTATTTGAAATGTTTTTGACAGGTTTTCATATTAGTAATGCTGATCCTCAAAAATCTATTGGGAATCTTTAGGGTTATTTAAACTTTATTCACAGAATAAAGGGAAATATTTTGCTTATATATTGAATTGATAAGTATACATGTATTTTGTTTTATGTAACCATAATCACTCCCATTCAGTTAAAGTGAATTTGTAGTATCTATCTATACTAATAAAAGATTATACGCTAATTAGACAGGATAGACCTGATGTCCTTCCGGACAAAGCCACGGTGGTGGGGACAGAGGCAGAGTTGGTTAGGGGTGATCAGGCTGGCAGGGGAGAGCAATTAGGGGTTATCAGGCTGGCAGGAAAATAGATAGTGGAGAACAGATAGGGCGGTTGGGGAATCAGGCCAGCAGGGGAGAGTGGTTAGGGCCAATCAGGCAGGCAGGCACAGGGGTTAGGGGCGATCAGGCAGGCAGTCAGGTGAGTGGTTAGGAGCCAGCAGTCCTAGGTTGCGAGAGGCATCCTGAATTTGAGACTGTGCAGGCCAGGCTGAGGGGACCCCCTCTCCCATGCACGAATTTTGTGCACCAGGCCTTTAGTATATTTGTAAAAGGCTAAGTGTTCATTCGTCCAACCGGTAGCTATGATGCTCAGTGACCACCAGAGGCCAGATGCTCAATGCAGGAGCTGCCATGACACACACTGGCCATTTAAAAGTAAAGAGCACCACAGACCTGGTGCTGACAAACCAACACTTAGCTTACCCCAAGTTGGACACAGGCCCTAACACCACCCCAGAGCGACACCCCACTAAATCGCAGCCAATGCTGCGAAGACCCCATGGCGCAAAATGTGTCCTACTGCCCAGTCCATCCCAGCCTGCAAAGGGTCGCTGTGGGTGCCACTTAATGATGTCATGTAGCAACGCCCCGCTGCCTCTCCCTAGTGACTAGCCTCCGTAGAGTTTCTTCAGCCCAGGAACCTGACTTGCTTCATATTAGGTGCAAACATTTTACACTTTAGGCAAATGTTTGTGAAGTGTTTTCCCGTGCCTCATTTGATCTTTACAGAAGTCCTGGAGTAGGTAGATAGGAGATTCGGTAGAATCCTATTTTCTTTCCATTAGCCGGAAGAGAGAGATTTATAAAGTTTAGAAACTTGACCCAACTGAGATGAAGTAAGAAATGGTGGAACTTGAAGATAACTTCAGGTTTTCTCACTGCTCAGAATGTAGTTAAACACGTCTGCAGTTGAATATTTTACCATTCTCCCCACGTGACCTACAATAATAATGTGCTTCATGTTGATATTTACTGCTATGTTGCTGATAATTATGTTGCTGAAAGAGAAGTTGGGGTGTTTCACAGGGCTGGAAAACGTTTAGCTACATCAGAAAGCAGCTCTAATTAAGCAAGTTTATTCTATACTATCTAATAATAGACAAACATGGTAATTGACTGCACCTTTGCTACACCTCCCATTGGCTAATCAGCACGATATGCAAATTAAACACCAACAAAAATGGCA